ATATATCTATATCTATCTATCTATCTATATATATATATATATATATATATATATATATATATATATATATGTATGTGTACATATATATATATATATATATATATATATATATATATATATATATATATATATATGTACATATATATATATATAATATATATAGTATATATATATATATATATATATATATATATATATATATATATGTATGTATATATATATATTTATATATAATGAAACTACTAATGATAATAAGCATAGTAAAAATAATTGAAATTATAAAAATGATGATAATAATAACAATAAAAATGATAGTTATAGTAATAATGATAATAACAATAATGATAATTATGATGGTATTTAAGATAAAAAAGATAATAGTAATAATAATAAATAATAATGGTAATGATAAGGATAATGACATCATATTTACTACTGCTACTCATGTCTTGTTATTATTGTTAGAATCAGTCATCCTCATATTCATATTCATCGGCCTCTCGAGTAACACAGTTCTAGGGGCGAGTGCCAATTTTGAGATAAGCCAACCACCGAACTGGAAATCTTTACTTCTGCTAGTCTTATAAAGTCAAATGCCGTGCGTGATTTCGGGCTTTGAAATGCAATGCACTGAAACTCTCAGCGCGTGACTGACTGCCTGACGCAAAGGGCTGCATTTTGAACACTTGGCAACGGAAAGTGGGACCGCTTGTACTCTTCTATGTTTTCCTCGGAGTCAGAATGGCGTTTTCAGTTTGCAGGTAATAGATTTTACAGTTTCCGAAAGAAAAAACAAAAACTAAGTGTAAAAGTATTAGAATTATTATCAGAGGAACTTTATTTATTTATATTTTTTTTGCCAAAAAAATGTCAGAACAACTTTAGAAATCGAAGTAGGAGTAAAGGTCTAAATATCAGCAACAATAATAGTTTATCAATTAATCAGCAAAAAAATACATTTTAGAAATGTTTGTTTTGAAATCACTACAGTAAAAAAAAGACTGACAGTTTTTCGCCGTGAAGTATATTCGTTATTTTCGTTATGTACAAAAATGTTAAAAGATTTTCATTAATGCAGCACAGTTTCTCAACATTGAATTTTAGAACATTAGCCCTTCTTGTTCTCGGCAATAGGCTTATATATCCATGTCTTGTTTTCAATTCCATAAATTATATCATTATTTTCCTTTCTTCATTTGCGGAACCCGAGATCCCATCCGTCTGTGTGAAAGTTCAAATTAACGATTCAAGATCACCACCTCCTCCCCATCCCATGCCATTTGAGAGTCCTGCCCAAGGCTAAGGCGGCAGACTTCTGTCTCTCTCTCTCTCTCTCTCTCTCTCTCTCTCTCTCTCTCTCTCTCTCTCTCTCTCTCTCTCTCTCTCTCTCTCTCTCTCTCTCTCTCTCTCTCTCTCTCTCTCTCCAAAGGCTGGATGTTTTAACGAAGCTTAATTAGGTGATCTGCTGTATTTAGATCAACAGCTAAAAGTCAAAAGTGAGAGAAAGTCAGAAAGGATGTATATATATATATATGTGTGTGTGTGTGTGTGTGTGTGTGTGTGTGTGTGTGTGTATGTATACATACATGTATATGTGTGTGTGTGTGTTTGTATTTGTATATATATACATACATATATATGTGTGTGTGTGTGCATTTATGTAAATATGTATATATATATGTATATATATATATATATATATATATATACGTTTATATTTATATATGTATATATATTTTTATACATATATGATATATATGTATGTTATTATGTATATGTATATATATGTATGTATGGTAATATATATATATATATATATATATATATATATATATATATATATATATGTATATGTATATATATATATATATATATATATATATATATATATATATATATATATATATATATATATATATATATATATATATATATATATATATATATGAATATATATGTTTATATATATATATATATATATATATATATATATATATATATATATATATATATGTGTGTGTGTGTGTGTGTGTGTGTGTATAATATTTATGTGTGTGTATGTGTATGTGTATATATATATATATATACATATATATATATATATATATATATATATATATATATATATATATATGTGTGTGTGTGTGTGTGTGTGTGTGTGTGTGTGTGTGTGTGTGTGTGTGTATAATATTTATGTGTGTGTATGTGTATGTGTATATATATATATATATATATATATATATATATATATATATATATATATACATATATATATATATATATATATATATATATATATATATATATATATATATATGTATATATATAAATATATAAATATATATATATATATATATATTTATATATATATATATATATATATATATATATATATATATATATGTATATATATATATATATATATATATATATATATATATACATATATATATACATATATATATATATATATATATATATATATATATATATATATATA